GTCACTCACTTGGCCTTCACCGTCAACACATCTCAATACCCCTTCTCCAACACCGGCCGAGGTAGTAGCAGAACCGTCAGCCAGTATCACCTTAATTTTCACACTCTCATCCAGCACACTAAAGAACTGCCTGTTGCTTGTCATGTGGCTAGAGCATCCACTATCGACGAACCAAGCATCCTGCCGCCGACCTTCACCGACCTTGAAACAAATAGGCGCTTCCGTTTCAGACGCCTGCTTTGCCCTCGCTTTATCCTGCTTGGATTTCTTCACATCAACATCCGTCTTCTTCTGCTGCTGCTGCTGTAACTGTCGGCAATCGCGACGAAAATGTCCTGGTTTCCGGCAATGAAAACAGATTTTCTCCTTTTGACCAACACTTTGCAGCTTTATGGCTTTCTCACTACCATCAGACGAACGTTCCTTCCGACGCTGGTGCTCGTTCGGTCACTGGAAAGCTTCAATTCGTAGTCTGCCGTACCGATCAAATATCGAACGACGCGCTTCAACTCTATCCAATCGCGCTGAGTCGGATTGCTAGACTTCCGACTAAGGATTGAAACTGCTACTGCAATATCCGGTCTTGAATTTGTCGCCAGGTATAGAAGTGCTCCCACCAAACTTTGGTATTGGATGTTGTTCGGCAAAGCTTCACTCTCCTGGTACTTCAGGTAACCTTGGTCCAAAGGAAACTTCAAGCTTTTAGCTCCTTCAAGACCGAAACGCACTGCTATTTCTCGAATAGATCCCTGTTGACTCAGAGAATAGAATCCCTGTTCTTCCTTACGAACTCTGATCCCCAGAAACTGGTTCACTGTTCCCAAACAGGAAATCTCGAATCGCTTGTGCAACTCCTGTTCCAGCCGGTCTAGCTGTTGCTTGTCTCTGCACGCCACAATCATGTCGTCTACGTAAAGTAGTAAGTAGACCCACTCTCCGCTGTTCAGCTGCTTCATAAACAAGCAGACGTCCGACTCGGACTGCCGGAATCCCATCTCCAGCAACACCTTCTTCACGGTGGAGTGCCAAACTTTCGCCGACTGTTTCAGTCCGTACAGGCTTCGGTGGAGCCTGCACACCAGTTCTTCCATTCCAGGAACAGCGTACCCCGGAGGCTGCAGCATATACACCTCCTCTTCCAGCCGCCCGTTGAGATATGCGTTCCTTACATCAATGTGCCGCACTTCCAAGTTCTTATGTCCCGCAACTGCCAAGAGAACTCGAAAAGTTGATTGCATCGCGACTGGAGCAAATACTTCTCCGAAATCTGCACCCAACCGCTGCGCGTATCCCTGTGCGACTAATCTGGCTTTAAAACGTGTCACACGTCCTGATGAGTCCCTTTTTTGCTTGTAAACCCACTTGGATCCAATCGCCTGTCGTCCTGCTGGCAACGGTACGAGCGACCAAGTGTTCATCGCCGACAGCGACTGATATTCTTCGTCCATAGCACGGACCCACTTGTTCTTGTCCGGACCTTTCACGGCTTCGGTGTAACTGACCGGCTCCGCTACTGCAACTTGAGCTACTCCAACCACGAAATCTCCGTATCTACTCGGCATCGTTCCCAGATTACTACGCTGTGACCTCCTAGGCTCATTGCGAGGCTCATTGTTGTCTCGGAACGATTCTTCGTATCCGAAGTACTCTTCGTCTGAATCCGAAAAACCCTCAAAGTCAGGCTCATTGGCGATACTGCCCGCATCACTCTTTCTACCAGAAAAATCAATTTCGATCTCCTCGGCAACCTGCCGCTCCGGTGAATCATTCCTAGTCTTCGGCGGATCTCTTTCTTGGTTCGACTCGCGGAGTTTCGACTCCTCCTGAAGCTCTGGACCAAGCTCCACAAACCTAGCATCTCTACTGATCGTTATTCTGTTAGACCTCTTGTCCAGAAAACGATATGCCTTCGAACCACACGCATACCCGACGAAGGTTAGCTTCTCGGCTCTGCTCTGCATCTTCCCGCGCTTCGCGTCCGGAATATATACGAAAGCGTCACACCCGAATACCTTCAAGTGACTCAGGTCTGGCTTTTCGCCGTTCCACAGCTCGAACGGAGTTTTCTGTACCGAACGCGATGGCAGACGATTTTGCACGTATGCTGCCGCTGCAATCGCCTCACCCCAATAACGCTTCTCCATATTAGCGTCAAGGAGCATGCAGACAGCCATTTCCTGCAGATAGCGGTTACGGCGTTCTGCCACGCCGTTTTGCTGTGGTGCATATCCCGCCGTCAGCTGCATTTCAATGCCTTCATTCCGGTAAAAGCGCTTCAATTCCTTATTGACGAATTCACCGCCCCGGTCGGAGCGAATCACCCGAGGTTTTCTTCCGAACTTATTCTGCACCAGCCGTACAAAATCCTTGATACAGTCCTTCGCCTCCGCTTTGTCCTTCAGCAGGTAGAGCACCATGTACCTGCTGTAATCGTCAATCAGCGACATGAAGTATTTCTTACCGCCTGGAGTCACGTTTGACATAGGTCCACACAGATCCGTGTGGATAAGCTGTCCTCCGTGCTGCTTGCTGCGGATATGGCAGTCTTCCCTCCAAGCAGCACTCGCAAACGATCTTCGCTCCGCAATTGACCACTTTCATCCCCGTCACTAGCTGTTCCTTCTGCAGTCAGTCCATTACCGCAGGATCGCGATGGCCGAACCTGCGATGCCAAGTATGTTGGCAATTCACGGTGTGCTTATGAGTTACCGCCAGCGTTGCACGCTCTTCCTCCTTAAGGACGTACAATCCTCCACACCGCTCACCTTGAACGACAACTTTGTTCGTATTGCTCAGGACTTCGACGGTATCTTGCTTGAAAAGCACTTTATATCTGTTATCAGAGATTTTGCTTACGGATAACAGCACGGTGTCCAGTTCCGGTACATACAACACCTTCTCCAGCTGGATGTCGACTGATCCTTCGACGCCATTCCAAACTTTCACAGTTTCGCAACCATGACCACCCGATCTCGTACAGACTCCGTTAGCCATTCTCACCGTCACACCAGGTGATTCCTCCAGTTCTTCGAAAAAAGCTTCCTTGTTAGCCATGTGACACGACGCACCGCTGTCAATTGTCCACGACTTTCCCGGCTTCACTGCTGCACAGATGGCTTCATTGGTTTCACTCGCCGAAAAACAAATAGCTCCATCACTCGAATCCGTCGCCTGCTTAGCCTTCGCTTGCCGCTAGTTGCCCTTCGAAGGTTTGCTTCCGGATGCTCCCTGCGTTTCCGCGTTTTGAACCTGCCACTTTCGGCAATCCCGTTTGAAGTGGCCTGGTTTCTTGCAAAAGAAACACACTACGTCCTTGCTCACCTTTTGCGTTTTCAGTACCCGCTCATCAGCGTCCGACTTTCCTGCACGTTCCTGTCTCTTCCGGTACTCATCCAGCAGCTTAGTCCTGATCAGCTCCATGGTGATATCACCGTCGGGGCGAGCTTCCAAAGCCGATGCCAGAAAATGGTACGACTCTGGCATACTCCGAAGTACCATGGCGATTTTCAGTTTCTCCTCCAGCTTGAGACCAGCATCTTCCAGGCGCTCGAAGAGCGAATCCATATCCAGTAGATGTTTCTCTACGTTTCCCGATTCACTCAGCTTCGTTTCACACAGCCGGATCAATAATGATAGCTGCGACGTAATCGTAGCTTTTGCACTTGTGCAGTCCTTGATCAGGATGTATTGGCTTTGCTCAAGACACAAGCCAATCGTCGCTCTGGCCTTCCTATCCGCGCGTATCCACGCGTCCGTCAACGGATCCGGTCTGTCATCTGCCACGACATGCCACAGTTCCTCCCGTGTGCCACGTCGCAAAGTTGCTGTTTCCAAGCTTACTGATGGCAAATTTTCCGGGATCTGCCATGCTCACAGCTATCGGATCGGTACAAGTATTTATGCGGTACACTGTACCTCCTCCGCAAAACGCAAACAGCAGCCGAAACAAACTTTCGATACCGACCGCCGACCACGACGCAAAAACTTCCTTTTTCACCGATATTCGTCCCGATTTCACGATTCCCGAACTGGGCCCATAACCTATGGGCCTTAGGTGGACGTTCCGAAGTGGAATTAACCGTGGGGAATTCGTAAACGCGTCAAAATAAAGTACAAATATCGGACTTGAAAAAACCTCGGAAAAAAACAACGTGTTTTTATTTCGCACTGTAACAAAAGGAATGAGGTTATACTTCAAAACACCGCCTGGCTGTCATTCTCTCTACTCGCCGTGTTGCCAATTTCTCTGATAGGGGTTCAGTTACTTCAGCGTCCCTGTTGTTCATTTGCCAACAGTCTTTTCATGAATACCTTTCAATTTGTTCCACGCGTCTCGTGCTGATGCGGCATTCCGAACAAGATTCAACTGATTGTCCTCCACGTACAGCACAATATTCGCCAGCGCCTTTTGATCCGACTTGATCCACAAAGCCGTCACCGGTTCTGGCTTCGGATAATCAACTGCATCCTGCACGCGTGATATTGAGAACGTATGAGAGCGGAAAAATATAATTTGAGTGATGATGTTGCCAACACTGATTTGAATACAGCTTGAGGCTGTATAAATGAAATGAGTAAAGTTTAATTTCGAAAATTGTTAGTTGGGAATGTATTGACAATACGATTATTGTGTAGGGTCCACTTAAGATCACACAGCCCCTGTGTAGCAACAAGTAGGGTTGATGCCTCTAATGTCGGCATAAATGTCCCTAATAATGGGCCAATGCATCAATTTTGGAACAAAAAATGTTTGACCAATTTGTCATTATCAATGGATCATTGAAGATGCTGAAGTTTTGACAGCACCGTACTGTGGCTACCACAGTATTTTACATTGGATCGTCCGTATACAGTAGCGCCAAATGCAAGCTGTGGTGGGTTCAAAACTCAGCCATCTAAAATGATCCATTAATAACAACCATAAACCTAAAAAGTGATTTACCACTCAGAATGAACCTGCATATATTGTGATCAATAGTTATACCAACGCTTCTTTGCAGACGGCCGTCGTGGCTGCACTTCGGATGACATCTATACGAACAGTGATGATTTTGAGACTTGCACATCGTACAACTGTAACCGAAAGGCCCACTGCGTCGTATGCAATTCCGACAACGGACCAGATGACGCAAACTGCTTAAACGATCCGCAGTCATTCACTCAACCTTGTCAACTCCATGGATTGGTTACAGATGAGAACTGCTATCGCTACGAAGGTGAATATTAATTTGATAAAAAAAAAACAATGCTGATCATAGGTTTCACTTTTCAGTAAGTAAGGAAAAATTTCAGCTAGGATGTACTACTGATCCAGATATGCCAGAAAAATGCGGTAATAATGTTTGTAAAAAGTGTGATGCTGACAATTGCAATCAAAGAGGTTCGTTAAGACTAGGTTCATCCACGTTAATGAAAATTCATCGAATATTGTGATTTTTTTAAGAATTTCAAACCTGCTACGTATGTTACGATTGTCGAACATTAGAACAGTCTCAAGATACTTTAAAGTGTACCGACTACAATTCCACATGCTTTATTGCATATGACCGTAAGCATTGATTGATTAGTTAGTTAGCTGCAACATATTCATCTCTTATTATTAATTTCAGATGCTTCCAAAGCAACAAGCCGTGAATGTACGGAGGGTTCAGACCCGAATTTATACGTGGAACTCGTCTACGAATGCTCAGAGCCCTATTGTAATGGTGATGAATTCCCAACGCACCGTCAGTGCTACCAGGACATCATTCAAGACATTGACTACTGCGATTCACTGGATGCAACAAGATGTTTCACACAGTATGCCTCGGATGGGTCGACGTTGAATCGCGGTTGCGACACGGATCAAGGATTCGACGATTGCATTGAGTTTGAAAATTGTTTGATTTGTGATTCGGACGGATGTAATAATGATGAGCCGGCAGCGAAATGTGTGAGTTGCACGAATGCGGAAGAATGCAGGAATGTGCCGCCAAAAAAAGAATGCGATCAAGCAACATTCTACCGCGGGTGTTACATGTATCATGGGCCTAAAGGGACGCTTGTCAAAGGTTGCCTAAATGAACTGGTGGATGAGCAAACCGAGGAGTATCAAGCTTGTAAACAGAATGAAGAGTCTTGTCAGAAGTGTACCGGTTTGCACTGCAACGAGATGCATTGTTTGTCGTGCAACTCTCGAGACGGAGTGGAATGCGTTGCAGGAGAAGACAACATCCAGTACGAACTTTGTCCGATGGGAGACAAATGTAGGATGTTTGTGGACGGTAGGTAGGAGTGGGAGATGTGCACGGTAACCGCAAAATACCCAATATTAAAGTTATTGACTACAAAGTAAGCATTTTCGAGGGAGACTGGGACTACCCATTACCGATATATGAGTATTTGTTATTCATAAATGAATGCTTACTACTTATTGTTGTAGTTGTAATTACACATAAATGGTAAGTAAGCAAAAATGCTTACTTTGTAGTCATTATTGGGTATTTTCCGGTTACCATGTATCGAATTTTTCAAATGTTTATTGTCTCGAAAAAAGACCTTCTGCAAAATTTGAACTCGATCGGTCATGACTTGGGGTGGCGTAAAATCGTCAAAATCTAAACTATTTGTTCAAAGGCCAGTTTTCCAAGGTAATCCACCTTTATTCAGCTGTTCACCCAGCTGTCAACTTAATTAATTATACATTTTTTTTTTGGCTGAATGATCTATATTTCTTGTATTTGTTTGCTTTACATGATTGAATTTTCAAGTGACACAGATGCGTCTTATCAACTTTAGTTATTTAAAAAAAATTAATTATTATTTACTGGTTCCTAGTCCTATCAGACCTGATAAAGTATGACCACCTTAGTGGTATTTATTTGTTTTGAATTGGAAAAAGGAGACTACTTAAAGCTACTATTTACAGCTACAACTAATCTACAACTACTATATGCACCTAACCTACTATATACAAAATGCTTATCAAAGCATGTTCTGATGTATTGCATTTCTGCACAAATTTGTTCCTAGTTTCGTTAATTTGAAAATCTACTTTCGGAATGTTAGCCTCTTGTCGGAAATGCGGGTATCGAAAGGACGATCCAGGATCAACCTTAATACCCTGTTCTGCGCTACCTGTATTTTGTACCTGTGAGTTTGTGCACATGATTACCACACCGGAGCTTCGTAGAAGATCGCAGGCGCAATGATTTGTTTGTAGACAGCCAGTTTGTTCACCCTAGAGAGACGAGATCTGCGGCAAATAAGCGGATACAAGCACCTAACTAGATTGGAACACTTAACTACTGCCCTATCTATGTACGAGCAGAAAAGGAGCTTCTCGTCAAATAACATACCAAGATATGTTACTTCGGTCGACCACTCAACCCTTGTGCCATCCATTATTGCAGTACAAGAGGGAGCCGGTTTTAGTTTGGGAGATTGTCGATGGAGGAACATTATTGATTGGGTTTTGGAGGCATTGATTTTGATTTTCCACATGTTGGCATAATCAGCAAAGGCGTCAAGGCATCGTTGAAGTTTGTTTGTTATTTCACGAGGCTTCCTTCCCTTGACGGTTATAGCGGTATCATCTGCGAACAGGAAGAACACGCAACCGTTGCCCAAGGGAGGAATGTCGGAAGTGTAGATGCTGTATAGCAAAGGGCCCAACAGGCTACCTTGCGGAACACCTGCTGGGATGGAAAAGGTGTTTGAATTGCAACCATTCAACGATACCTTAAACGACCTTTGCTGGAGGTAGTTACGGTTGATTTTTACAAGATGTGGTGGAAAGTTGAAGTTACAACAGAACCTGCCGAATCGCGAAAATTTGGTCCGTGGTAGCGCGGGCACCCATGAATCCCGCCTGGTATTGCCCCACGAACTCTCTTGCATATGGTGACAGACGGCGGCATAGAATTTGGGAGAGTACCTTGTAGGCGGCGCTCAGCAGTGTGATCGCACGGTAGTTGCAGCAATCCAACTTGTCGCCCTTTTTGTAGATTGGGCATACGACACCTTCCATCCACTCCTCTGGTAATATCTCCTCCTCCCAAATCTTGGCAATTACCCAGTGCAGCGCTCTAGCCAGTGCTTCACCACCGTATTTCAATAGCTCACTTGGTAGTTGATCTACACCAGTTGCTTTGTTGTTCTTCAGCCGACCGATCTCCTCCTCAACTTCTTGAAGATCAGAGGCCGGTAGCCTGTCGTCTTCTGCGCGTGCTCCAAGGTCTGTTGCCGTGCCACCTTCGTTTTCTGCTGCTTCACCGTTGAGGTGCTCGTCATAGTACTGCTTCCACCTCTCAATCAACTCACACTCGTTCGTGAGAAGGTTACCGTCCAAGTCCTTGCACATATCGGCTTGCGGCACGTAGCCTTTGCGCGAACTATTTAGCTTCTCGTAGAACTGCCGTGTGTCGTTTACGCGGTACAGATTTACCATCGCCTCGCGATCTCGGTCTTCCTGCTGACGCTTCTTCCTTCGGAAAACCGAGTTTTGTCTGTTCCGCGCTTGTCTGTATCGCTCCACATTCAATCTCGTGTGGTGTTGCAGCATTCTCGCCCGTGCTGCATTCTTCTCCTCTACTAACAGTTTGCATTCGCCGTCAAACCAGTCATTTCTTCGGTGAGGGATTGCAGTACCTAGTGCCGCTGCAGCAGTACTACCTATGGCTGAACGGATGTCCCTCCAGCCATCTTCAAGAGAAGCTGCGCCAAGCTGCTCTTCCGTGGGTAGTGCAACTTCCAGCTGCTGCGCGTAGTCCTGGGCAACTCCGGTGTCCCGTAGTTGCTCAATGTTGGGTCGTGGAGTTCGACTTCGACGTGTGTTATGCACCGTCGAGAGTTTTGAGCGCATGCATACTGCAACTAGGTAGTGGTCCGAATCTATGTTCGCACTGCGGTACGTGCGGACGTTGATAATGTCGGAGAAGAATTTCCCGTCGATTAGAACGTGATCGATTTGGTTTTCTGTGTGTTGGTCAGGTGATCTCCAGGTGGCTTTGTGGATATCCTTGCGGGGGAAAAAGGTACTTCGAACTACCATACCCCGGGAGGCTGCAAAGTTCACGCATCGTTGGCCGTTGTCGTTCGATACGGCATGCAGGCTGTTTGGCCCGTTTGCCGGTCTATACATTGCCTCCCGTCCTACCTGAGCGTTCATGTCGCCGATGACGATTTTGACGTCCCGTTGCGAACAGCCGTCGTACACCTGCTCCAGCTGCGCATAGAACGCTTCTTTCTCGTCGTCGGGTCTCCCTTCGTGTGGGCAGTGCACGTTGATGATGCTGTAGTTGAAGAAACGGCCCTTAATCCTCAACTTGCACATCCTCGCGTTGATCGGCTGCCAACCAATCACGCGTTGGCGCATCTTACCCAGCACTACAAAGCCGGTTCCCAGCTCGTTGGTGGTGCCACAGCTCTGGTAGAAAGTAACCGCTCGATGCCCGCTTTTCCATACCTTTTGTCCCGTCCAGCAAAGTTCCTGCAGTGCTACGACTTTGAAGTTGCGTGGTTGAAGTTCGTCATAGATTAACCTATCGCAACCCGGGAAGCCGAGCGATTTGCAGTTCCATGTTCCGAGTTTCCAATCGTAGTCCTTATTTCGTCGCGTAGGTCTGTGCCCATTGTTCCGATCCGTATTTCTTTCTTCGGTATTTGCAACTTTGTTTTTTTTTCCAGGGCGGCTTGTTGGGCCTGCCCCAACCCCCTGTCTCGCCGGGGGACCATCGTGCACAGCTCTGTTTAGAGTCCCACGCTGGCACTAGGACGGTGATCAGCCGCTCCTAACATGGAGAACAGACGCCGTTTTGAGCTGCACCTCCATGGTGAGCAGACGCTCAGGTTTGGTGAAGCATTTCCTCTATCACCGTACTATGGTTACCGCGCCAGTGTTCGCGTCGCACCTCTTCACTTTGCTATTGCCGGACTGGCAACATTGCCCAGGCTACGCCAACCAGCTATGTCCATGTTTCAGCTGGTAGTCTTTTGTTATCATATGACTCGAGGAGGCGTGAAGTAGGAACTTGTGAGCACCAGGGCTAGGTATTCCGCTCCTTCCAGGTTGTCAACTCACCATTTTGTAGCCCAATATCCAATTTTACCCTCTTTAAATCTGGGATATGCACATAGGCAGTGCTCCCAAACACCCGCAAATGGCTTAGAGTGGGTTTGTTACCAAACCACTTTTCAAAAGGCGTTTTGTCAATCGAACGAGAGGGAAGCCTATTCTGAAGGTAAGCAGCAGTTACTACTGCCTCACCCCAAAATCGTTTAGCAAGTCCTGCATCAGCGAGCATGCACGTCGCCATCTCCTGGAGCGAACGGTTCTTCCGTTCGGCGACGCCATTCTATTGTGGGGAGTATGCCGCTGTTAATTGAGATTTGATACCTTCTTGATCGTAGAATGTCTTGAGCTCCGAGTTGACATACTCCCCTCCCCCATCAGAACGGATAACGCAAGGTGTCTTACCAAATTTTGTCTTCGCTTGGGCTACAAACCACTTGATGTATCCAGCAGCGTCAGACTTGTGTCGAAGCAAGCATACGACCGTGTATCGACTGTAGTCGTCGATCAAAGTCATTAAATATCGGACACCGCCGGGCGTCACTGTGGACATGGGTTCACAAACGTCCGTATGGATCAGCTCAAGAATGCTGGTGGCTCTGTTCTGCGAGGCTTGGGGAAATTGAATATGAGAGGATTTACCTGCGAGACAGTGTTCACATACTTGTCTCAAACCGCAGTCCTGCAACTGCAATCCAATGCCGAGTTCCTCCTTTTTAATCTCAACGGCCGCCGGATCACGGTGACCAAACCGCCGATGCCATGTATGTTGGCAGTTCGGCAGGTGTCGAATCTCCTTACTAAGCTTCACGTATTCCACCGTCTTCGAAACGAAAAGGATACCCGTACAACTCACCTAGAGCCACTTTTTCACCACTCGCACTCACTATGTCACAGCAGGGTCCAGAAAAAGTTCACTTGGAAACCCTTTTGAGTCAGCTTCCGTACCGACAATAAAGCACTGTCCAGCTTTGGAATGTACATTACGTCCTTGAAGAGGATCTTCTTCACTTGTCCATCACCACTCACACAGTTAACAAATCCTTCACCGATTCCATCGGATTTTGTCGTGGAACTGTCGGCCAGAACCACATCCACTCTCACGTCTGTATCCAGTTTCACAAAGAACGAACGGTCATTCGACATGTGGCTTGAGCAGCCGCTGTCGATATACCAGCAACTCCGATGCCGGACGCTTGCTGCCGTGAAACA